CCTGGGATGTGTTTTGGAAAAGTTATACTTTTACTCTGGTACAAAATATTTCACAATAACTTAGACTTACCGACAAATCTGAGGGTATTTTCCACTAGACATCGACATCTGTTGAAAATCATACATTTTCCCCAAGCAATTTTCAGTTGGAGGGAAGACTCCTTTAACAAATTTCCATATCCTCATTAATAACTTGCGCCAGGCTTTTTTTTTTACACATATTATGAGTTCTGCTTCTATCCACGGAGCCCTTTGGGCTCTATAAATCTTTTACTCCTTTTACTTCTTTAGATTCTGAACCATGGCATTGACCTTAGAATAGGAATAATTGCATAATTTAATGAGAACAACGTATGATCAATTTATTCCCATTATATAGCTCAGCATTTTGGCCAATATGTCTCTTTGTTTATTTTTTCGCCCCCTAAAAATCTTAACTTTAATCGTCAAGGGGGTCATATTTCTAAGGAGGTAATTTTTCTTCACATAGGGTATGCAGATTTTTAGGGTGATCACACTTTTTCTACGGACAAAAGGGTCATTTTTCGACGTAGAATAATGAGGGGAGGGGGTAATTTTTCGCCTTTTCGAACGACCTACTTTTTGTGTAAAACAAAACTAAAGACTACCCAAAGTGTATCAGTTGACAAAGTTTGATAATCCTACATGTAAGCCTAATAGAATTTAAGAACTGCAAACGATAGTATTGTTCTCCCGCCTACCCCCAAGTCAATTTTCAAAAAATAACATATTCGATGAATTTTTAATATCTTTTATAGATAATTATATGGATTTTCATAAAACATTACTTATTTGGGAAAACAAAGAGAGATAACTTTAAAATTTTGGTAAAACTGGCGTTTTTCACTATAGAAATCAACGGAAAATGGAAAATATTTTTAAAACATCTTTCTCCCCGGTGTCACAAAAATTCCTTTTTACAGATAATAAGGTATGTTATTTCACAAACTCATACTAAAGCTTTTGGTGTGACACGGGAGTAAACATGTGTTCATTGACAAAATACGATAAATATGCTTATTTTCCACCAGTTTCAAGCGATGTACGATATATTTATGTGTTATATATTTGACTAGAACATAAGAAAAGATATGAGGAATATTTAATCATATCAAAGACTATTTCAGAATATGGTGATGCTTGAAACTCCAATTTCAATGGAAAATATCGTCTACCCCCCTTTTTTCAAGAGCTGGTATTATGGATAATTTACTGTTTAGTGCTGGTATTACGACAATTCATCAATTACCATTGAACTGTTCTGTGTATTAAACAAAGATTTTATGGCCAAATTGCAATTTATAATGAACTAAATGGTTTCAAAATGTAGGCGGGAATCGAGAGTTAGCGTGCGCATTATGAGCCGGACACGAGTGGACAGACGTGAAACTTAGGACGAGTTCATAAAAAGTAGGTCAAAGGTCAAGTTTAATGACGACTAGGTCTAAAACCATGGTGAAAACACAAAATCCATGGCGCTAAGCTATATATGTGCAAAAGATGAAATCCATATACGTATTTATTAATGTTACGCAAATACGTGTTTGTGTTTGTTTATTCTTGTCATCTATTGGCTTTTAGAATGGTCACCTAGTCAGGTGACATCAATATTCATAGCACGGGCTATTACTGACCGTGAAAGAAATTCTGTATAGGGAAAGCCATTCGAAGGCTCTATTTCGTGCAGTCAACACGTTTTCGTCATTCATCATATTCTGTCATGGGCGATTCTGGAGACGAAATTTTGCTAGAGACTAAAGATAATAAGAAAGTTACAAAGGAAACTGCTGGTAGTAATCCTCCGTTGGATATTTCGGACGTGGTGAAGCTTGTTACAGGAGTTTTGCAGTCACAATTTCAAAACCCTTCAGGTCAGCTTAAAGCAGAACAGTCGGAGTCTATTGCTAAGATACTTAAAGAAAACTCTACTCTTAAGATTAAATCTGAAGGGAATCGCGCTCAGTACGATTTTAATGCTGAAATTCTTGAGGGTCTAGAAAAACTAGAGATAAGAGCTTTCGAAAATAAAGAAAGTGAATCCAGTGTCAAAAATAGGCGAATTGCGGAAAAAACTGAAAACGCGCCAGAAATACATTCGTATTGCCGATTCATCTCCTGCAGGGTGGAAGACAGTAAACGAGTATCAGTCCAGAGAAATTGCCGATAACTCTGACGATGAGAAGAAAATTAGAAGCGCTGAAAACCGAGCCCTTAGGCAGCAAAGGCAAACCCAGAACAAGCGTTTCCAACCGTATGGCTGCTACAGAGCTTCTACAGCGTCAGCAGCGGCAGACTCGGCAGCCCAGCTTACTTCTGGTTCTTCCTCTACTGCTACATCTCAGCCATATACATATCAGCAGCAGCCCTTTCGTGGCAAACTCACAAGGCGTCAACCACAGCCAATGCTTCAACTGTTTTTCCACAGGGCACTGGAAAACCAACTGCCCCAAAAACAAGTCACAAAGTCAATGATAAGTATACAGGTTATACAAGCTATTCTACTCTTGCTGGCCAGGTGAAATGCCTTCAGAAAAATAATTCAAAAGAAATGTCATTGATAAAGTGCAATTTGAAAAGGAATGTTAGTGAATGGTGAGAAATTGGCACAAATCCTTTTATTTTGAAAGTTATTGAATCTGGATATGAAATTCCTTTCGTTTCAAATCCCCCTTCTATGTGTTTTCAAAATAACAAGTCTGCTATTAACAATTTGAATTTGTTACTTGAGAAATTTCAGATTTTATGGAAAACAAACGTATTTTAGAAGTTCCTTTTCAGCCATTCGTGTGTAGTCCACTGAGTGTCGCCGAAAACAAAAACAAAAAGAGATTGATCCTTGATCTAAGTAGGCTAAATAAATATGTCAAGTATGAGAAAATAAAATTTGAAGACTGGAAGACGGCATTAGATTATTTTGAAAAGGGTTTTTACTGTATTAAATTTGATCTGAAATCAGGATAACATCACATAGATATAGCTGAGAATTATCAAACTTATTTAGAATTCCAGTGGGAAAACAAGTATTACTGCTATACGGTTCTCCCTTATGGTCTATCGTCAGCACCATTCATTTTTACTAAATGCTTAAGACCCATCGTGAAATACTTGAGAAAAAATGGCATTATGAATGTATTATATTTAGATGATGGTTTGGCGTTCGCTTCTACTGAGGACCAATGTTTTTTAGATTCTCAATTTATTCAGAAAACGTTGTCAGAAGTTGGTCTGGTGGTTAATGCTGAGAAATCACATTTTATACCAACACGAGTCATTGAATGGTTAGGTTTAACATGGAATTCAAACCTATTCTCTATTTCAGTTCCGGACAGACGAATCGATGATGCTATCTGTTGTCTACAGAAAACTATCACTCATTTTCCCAATGTAACAGCGAGGGAACTTGCAAGAGTAGTGGGGAAGACCATTTCTATGACTCCAGTAATGGGTAACATTTGCAATATTATGACAAAGTTTTCATGTATGGAAATTGCTTTGAAAGAATCTTGGGATTCTAAGCTATTTTTCAAGCATAAAGATCAAGTGTTTGAAGAACTAAAATTTTGGGTAGAATGTATGCGTTGTGACAGTACAAGATTTTTACATTCTGTTAAAAGAAAAAATGTAATCATTTATTCAGATGCAAGTAATTCAGCATCAAGTGCATATACAGTTGAAGTTAATTCTAAGGTGTTCCATTTGATGTGGAAAGAACATGAGATAACTATGAGTTCTACATGGAGAGAGTTGAAGGCCATAGAATTGGCGCTGGCTTCTTTTAAGAAAGAACTACAAAATATGACAGTAAAGTGGTTTACAGATAATCAAAGTTGTGTGAAAATAGTACACTCTGGTAGCATGAAGCATCACTTACAAGTTTTAGCATATAATATTATCAAAATGTGTGCCGAAAACAAAATTTCCCTTGATGTTCAATGGGTCCGAGATCAGAAAATGAAAAGGCAGATTTTTTCAGTAAAATTATTGATCACGATGATTGGGAAGTTACTAATGAATTTTTTGAATTTATTAGTTCTATGTTTGGTCCTTTCTCTGTAGATAGATTCGCAAACTTTAACAATCGTAAACTTGTTAGATACAACTCAAAATTTTGGAATCCTGAGTCAGAGGCTGTAGATTGTTTTACACAGAATTGGGTGGGCGAAAACAACTGGCTAGTTCCTCCCATTCATTTGATAGTTTCTACTATAAAACATTTATTAGATTGCAAAGCCTATGGTATTTTGATTGTACCTAACTGGCCCTCAGCTGTTTTTTGGCCAATGTTATTCGATTTAGAACTATCTTATAAGGCGTATGTTAAAGATGTGTTATTGTTTAAAGATACAAGTGAGATAATCAGTCAAGGTCAGAACAAGAACTGTCTATTTGGTTCTATATATTTTGGCTCTGGAATATTTGTAGTACGTTTAGACACTTCAAATTTGTAGTTTAAGATGGTGTATTATGTTAATTTTGAATGTTATATTAGATTTATACCTTGTTGAAAATATTTATTTTCTATTTTGTAGAATTGGGACATTGAGTGATGAGGACATTAGAAAAAAGAGATATTATTTGTATTGTGTGAAATAATTAAACTGCACTTTCAGAGCGCTTCATATCCTATTTCACGAGTTTGTGTTTATTTCATAAATGTTTTATGTTCGTTTGAGTGAAACGAATAAGAACATAAATCATACAGTTCTCGAAATACAAGATGTGACAGACAATCGCCGGATAAAGTGATTCCTTAGTGCCCCTCTGCTGGCGACACAAGAAGGAGATGAACAAAGACATTTAAATGTAATAAGACACAGAGTATTTTGAAAGGTCTTAATTTTGTGCATGACTGAGTCTAACTTAATATTTCTCTATCTATACAGCTGTACGCAATAAAATTATCATCCAGTTTTAAGCCTTAAAAATTTAAATCACCTGACTACCTGACAACCCAAGGATAAAGAGTTGTATATTGATCCAGAAAATTCATTACACAAGCTTAAAACGAAAGTAACAAAAATTGATTTTTATAGAGAACTGACAAGAAATAGTAAGTATATCATTCAGTCTTTCAATGTTACTGATTAAATGCTGAACCATAAATCTGACACTTTGAGTACTATTTCATGAAAACATTATGAATAAATTAAATATATATTTTAACTTCCTTGTATTATTATTTGTTATTAACTTTGGAGTTTGTAAAATTTACTGGCTTTTAGTTAAACTTTATCAAGTATCTAAAAATGATGGATATACACATCAATGGGACGATTGAATTTATGAAATTCAATTATTGAATTATTATCATGTAATTCAACCAAACAGGTAAATATGGTTGTGTTATATTTCCAGATCACAAAAGAGATGGCTACCACCCAAGGACAGGACATCATTTGTTGTCAGTTGTGTCCAAACCCTGTAGAACATCACTGTAACCTTTGTCACGTTGACCTCTGCCTCTCATGCATACCAAAACATATGTCTGACAAATCAAGGGAACATGAAGTTGTTGGATACACTTCCAGAAAAGAAGAAACAGTTGCTCTTCCAACATGCTCTACACATGAGAAAAAACAATGCGAGACATATTGTCAAGATTGTAAAATACCATTATGTATTAAGTGCCTGATAGATTCACACAGGGGACATGAAGTTATCGAAATCCATGATATTCTTCAAAAACAGAAACAGCAAATTTTAGCTGACATTGAAGATATGGAAATTATTCTTTCAAAGTACAGAAATGTCAAACCAACTACAACCAATTTTGACATTCAAAAGGTCCTATCTGATATAGAAGAACAAGAGGATAAAATCTGCAAAGTTGTACATGAAATGAGCATTCATCTTAAAGACACCGTAACCAATGAAAGGAAAGAAGCAATGAAGAAATGCGAAGAAAGCCTGACTTTGAAAAATAATGCTGAAAAAGAATTAAATGAAAAGATACAAAACAACAATGATATTCTCAAGGGTAACGATCCCACAGCCATAATTAACTATCGATCATCTAGTAATCTGGATTTCAAAGGTCCTGAAATACCAAAATTTTCTTGTCCACAGTTATTTCCTGGAAGTATAAGGAAGGACCAAATTAAGGACATGTTTGGTGATTTTGATGGTGAGAAAAAACAAAACAGATATTCAAATTATGATTTAAGAGGGCAATATCCTGTGGGACCACTTGATTCACGGGGAAGACCGCATACTCCTAACTATACATCATATCCTCGCCTAGTATATCATGGTAACCCTTACCCTACATACCCTACGTATAGACCAACATATTCCAAGCCAAGAAAAGAGGTGGGCATTGATGATTGATTTTCAATAGCAGCCTGTGTTTTCCTGACACAAGTGATAAGGAACAATTTGCAATGGCTCAATCTTCGATCTATCTAAGTAAAATCAAGGTTCTGTTTTAATATTCTATAAAACTAAGCAAAATGGTCGTATTCGGTGTTTGGTCTGCACGATTCATTTGTACGAAACATTTATGGTTTAAATGGCCATGATTTAGTTTGCTGACCATGTAGCTGGTCGGATTTTACAAACACAACAATAGGATTTTTTTTTTCATTTAGTTTGAAATACCTTGTCAAATTGTAAACATTTATTCATGACTGTTTTCTTAGGAGGTACAATAACATAGTTGTGTTTTACTAAAGATAAAGACACCTATAAGATCAAAGTACTGAACGCACTCATGGGAGTTGAACATGGTGTATAACAAAAGTTTTGATCGGGAGGTTTAGTGGGTAAGCAATATTATTTTTTCAAATAAAGACAAACTGTTTCAATTTTTTTGTGTTGCAACAATCTTGAGAAAGACATTCAGAGGCATTGAATAACAAAAAAAAAAAAAAAAACAAAAAAAAAAAAAAAAAACGGATGGGCCATAATGCTTGACTGCCTACATTAGTCCTTTTTTATACCCCCTGCTTGAAAAGTGGGAGGGTATTTATAAATCGGGAATTCCGTCCATCTGTTTGTTACACTTTAGGTATACCCATCTCTTATCCGGAACTCCTCTTACACCACTGAACGAAATTTTCATAGAAGCTTTATTACATATTGCCGTTGTGCACCTTCTATTACTTTTTCATGAGGGACCTACACATAATTTCGGTTTCTCATTGCAAAACATATTCATATTAGAGGCGGTTGATCATTTATTAGGGCTGGGCATTAATATCGATATTTCAATATATTGCAATACAATGACAAAAAATATCGTATCGCAATACGATTTTGTAATATCAATATATTGGCAATATTTTTAGATTAAGGAATTTAGTAATATAAAATATGAAATATAAAAATGGACTTATAAAAGTTTGTTATTAAGCCAAACAGTAAGTCAGAAGTTGTTTTGTGGGAACATTTCAGAGGATAACTTAAATGAAATCAACAATTTTTTTTTTGTGTTTGTTACTTATCATTGTTTTGTACATTCTGCATGTAAGTTAAATTAAATATAGTAAGAAAATGCCATTTTTACTACATTGAAAATATTGCAATACATATCGCAATACAGTTAAAAATGTGGAATATGTGAGAGTTTGTGTGCGTACAAATTATCTGGTATGTAAATGAGGTTTTCCTTTTATTAAAAAAAATATAATTCATTTTGTTGCTTTTAATCACGATTTTACGAAAACATGGTTGTCCGTTTTTGGTTTTACTAGTAACATTTATAACAGAGTACTAGATGTAACGCTTTTGGAAGGTGATACTGCTGATTTGCTGATAAATACGCATATTTCCTAAAGTTTTAATGCATTAACGAATTAATTTATACCAAGGAAATGTTCATGAAAAGTTTGAATAAATTCTCTGCACCGGTAAAAAAGAGCTAAAAATCCGGGACCGCCGGGCGTCGAGAAGACTAGATTCACCGCTTGCCGTCAGTATGTAGAGTTGTCGTTCGTATCTCTTTCAGTGTATAACTCTACACTGAAAATGAGTTCCATTACGAAAAACTTTTGAGCTTCTTTATAATTTAGTTTTACTTTAAACGAAATCTAATATTTAAAATAAGATTACTTTATCATTACATTTACTTACATTTCAATTTATAAAAAAAAGATCAATTCAGGAGAAAATGACATGAGCTATTTGTGGCGGATGTTTATGTATGTTTTCTAGTGAATATCATCGGAGTAAATCGGGCGACACAGTAGCCTCGCTTTCGGCTCTATATAATCAACACAAATTACTGCGCATGTTAAATACGTGATGACCATGGGAGATTGAACATAGTTCAACTCCCAACAAAAGGAATAGATGAAAGAAGTGTATATGATTATCAAAGCTTTAGTAGTTTAGAAGATTGGAATTGATTTCGCTCTCGCAATAACTGAACAAAAATTTCCTTTTTTGAAATTTTAATATATCAGTACATAAAATGAAACTGACAAATAATTGATTGTTGGCACTCATTCACTACCTAACCTCCTCTTTCCCCCTTTGTAGGGCCTCCACTCATTCACTACCTACCTCCTCTTTCCCCCTTTGTAGGGCCTCCATTCATTCACTACCTAACCTCCTCTTTCCGCCTTTGTAGGGCCTCCACTCATTCACAACCTAACCTCCTCTTTCCCCCTTTGTAGGGCCTCCACTCATTCACTACCTACCTTCTCTTTCCCCCTTTGTAGGGCCTCCATTCATTCACTACCTACCTCCTCTTTTCCCCTTTGTAGGGCCTCCACTCATTCACTACCTACCTCCTCTTTCCCCCTTTGTAGGGCCTCCACTCATTCACTACCTACCCCCTCTTTCCCCCTTTGTAGGGCCTCCACTCATTCACTACCTAACCTCCTCTTTCCCCCTTTGTAGGGCCTCCACTCATTCATTACCTACCTCCTCTTTCCCCCTTTTTATGGCCTCCATTCATTCACTACTTTTCTCCTTTTTCTCCACTATCCAGGGTCTCCACTCATTCATTACATATCTCCTCTTTCCCCATTGTATGAACTCCACTCATTTACACCGTACCTCGTTTTCCCCCTTTGTAGGGCTTTCTCTCATTCAATACCTCCATCTTCTTTCCCCTTTGTAGGGCCTCCATTCATCCACAACCTAACTTCTCTTTCCCCCTTTGTAGGGCCTCCACTCATTCACTACTTATATCCTTTTTCTCCACTATCTAGAGTCTCCACTCAATCATTATTACATATCTCCTCTTTCCCCATTGTATGACCTCCACTCATTCACAACGTACCTCGTTTTTCCCCCTTTGTAGGGCTTCCACTTATTCAATACCTACCTCCTCTTTCCCCCTTTGTAGGGCCCCCACTCATCCACTACCTGCCTTCTTTTTCCCCCTTTGTAGGGCCTTCACACATTCACTGCCTACATCCTCTTTCCCTCCTTTGTAGGGCCCCCACTCATCCACTACCTGCCTTTTCTTTCCCTCTTTGTAGGGTCTCCACTCATTCACTACCTATCTTCTTTTTCCTTTGTTATAGGGCCTCCACTCATTTATTATTTACCTCCTCCTTCCCCCTTTATGGGACCGCTACCTGACTCTTCTGCTAATTAATTTCGTAACAATGCAGCTTGATATGTTTACATAAATATACAAACAATCTTTTGAAAAAAAAAATTGTGATTGGAAGTGTATGCTACAATTGTTTTTGTTTTTTTTTTCATCATATATATTTGTTGCCTACTTAATTGGTCCCTGTTATACATTATACGTTTTATTCACTGTGATCAATTAGTTAAATTAAATTGAGTGTACTTTACTAAAAGCAAGCTTAAATATTGCATAAGCCATAGAGTTATTGTATGTGTACATGAAAATTCTAGCTTCATATTGTAGAGGCGTTGATGGGAACAATGATGCGCTTATTTATGAAAACCACTAAGAAATGATTTATTAATACAATATGCAACACATTAGTGACTAGTGCTATATTGCGAATTCGCTTACATCTAAAGAGTGAATGAATGCCCCTAATTATGAATACGCAAAGTATGTACACGTTCAGTATGTCCAATTGCCAACTATTGAACAATCTTTTCTTTGCATTTCCTTCTTAAAAAACATAGGTGTAATACTCTTAGTTTAAAGGATTAACTGTCAATATTTGAAAACCAAAGTTTGGGCACCACCGTTATACCAAATGAATTAAAATTCCAATTAACATTTCATAATTATGTTTTATATCATTGTGAGAAAAAAAATATTTATTTGGGATTGTTTGAGATATGGAGAAATAACTTCATTGAAAGAAAGTGGTTATTCCATATTTTAAAAAAGAAAATAATTCAATAACATTGAATATGTATAGTTTTATCTTTTTTAAACTTGTTTCAGCAGAAACCTTTATATTGTTCTGTACTTAATTAAATACTCTATGGCATTTTCTCCGATATCATATTTTGCATGTTTCAATTAAGTACCCGGTACATGTAATTAACTTACGTTTTTCAAGTATACCTTGTCAAAACCTTAATTTAATTCAAAAATAGTTTAAGTTCCTGTCGGATCTAGATAAGTTTTTGCTAAATTAAATGTATTTGATATTAGATATCCAACAGTAAAATCGGATGTAATTTTCTTATTGTATTTTTTTATCGAATTATTGTATAAGGAAATGTGAATTAATCTAGCGATAAAACATTTGACAATAAAAAAAAAAATAAGGTGTCATGGTGTGTATGATATTTACGATAATACTATTTTTTAAATGGAAAACCGGGTGTATAATATGTGTATACATGTATGTATTTTTAATTTTTGATTTTGATGCCTGTATATTTATTTTAATCAACATGTGTGATAGGTAAGCATGCTTTTAATAATTCACATTGAAAGGTTGTATATAAGTATTTAAAAAATGTCGTCGAAAGAACAGAATTACGATGATATTTTTTCTGTGGATTTTCTTTGTCTGAGTGTATGTTTATTGTGTAAACACAGACGAGGCTTAAGTTATAGATCAGGCCCAGGATCATGAAACAGGATCATGGTGAGATACACAGGGACAACACAGATTAATAAGATTCAGTATGACAGTAAGGGTCAAACTTTGTTTGGTACTGAAATAGGGGGTATGCTAAATCTCGCTGAAAATGGCATCGGCAATATTTGTGTGGCTCCCTTTGGTTGCAATGCCGTCATTGTGGTCGATTCATCCGGGTGTTTTCGTTTCAAATATCATAGTAATTCCTCCAATCAGATGAAATACGCACGATCTTTACCATCTAATATTGCTACTGATGTCAGTTATCAAATGCTGCTTTATGGATAGGTCGGAACCACTCATGCAATTAAACTTTTCAATACTGGACTGTATTTGCTTTTTCCCAGCCACAGTGCCCCCTGGGCTTCTTGTTTCAGCATAAAGTTATAAAAGAGACGAATTTTAAAGGCAATGACAATAATTTATTCGCTAATGTCTTCAAAGGTATATATTATTTCTCTATGATACCGCCTTAAAATCCCCTCCTCCATATATTTAATGAATCGTATTATTCCTGTGTACCTATCTCCAATTACAAGATTTTGGTCAACATCTACACATATTCCACAGCACGAATATTCTATATATAGAACGAAGTTACCTAGACTGACATGCCTTTCTTTACCGTATGTATGAAAATATGTACACAGCTAATTGTGCAACGCACGTGTTACATATGGTTGCACATAACACATGTTTCACGTATGTGAAATGTACGTATCACATACGTGTATTACAAACATACGTTTCACGTATGTAGTACAACGTACGTATAACATGTGTGTGACTACATATGTTTCACAAAACGTACGTGAAACATACGTTTGAAATACACGCACGTGTTACATACGTTACACGTATGTGTAACATATGTTAAGTGCAACCATACGTTACACGTACGTTAATAAACGTACGGTTTACATGAGAATTGTCAACCACATGTTACACGTACGTTAATGAACACATGGTTTACATGTGTAAAGTCAACCACATGTTACACGTACGTTAATGAAGTCATGTTTTACATATGTTTTATAAAGCACAAATTTCATGTAAAGTTTATGTGTATTATAAACCACACATTACGGGTACATGTACTAATGTACATATATAAATTATGGTTAACTTATATTATAAAGCTCGCATTACATATACATTGATGAATATAGTATGTATATTATCAGCCACGTGTTACATATACATTAAAATACATTAAAAAAAGGTGATTTACATGTGTGTGAAAAGCTATGCTCGAGAAACTTGTATATTTTGTAAACTCATACTATTACATACATGTATGATAAATGTAGGTTGACTATAAAACTTATCCTTTTCATTTTTATTTAATTTCAAATCTAATTAATTAATTAGATTATCATTTAGTTTTTGCTATTACGAGAAAAAAAAATGCCTTAAACATTTATTGTTGCTTGGGACTACAATATTCATTTAAAATACAAGAACTTTTTGTATAAATATATGGGTAGTAGACGTCTGACCAAATTTTCAGTCTCTACCCATCTCGATGAGATTAGTCTGTGAGCTTTCAGTTGTGATTGGGTTTAACCAAATATCATAATAATGTGTTTTTTTTTTTAAAAAGATATTTTACATTTGTAAATATTATAATGATTAAAATCCGTGTAACTTCTGATCTAAAGTCCCATTATACATGTTATAAGATGGATTTTATAGATGGTCATATCACCATAACGGCTCTGTTTCCTGAATAACAGATTAAGCCCTATATGATTGTTAGATATTATCTTGATTAGTTCTCCAAAATCTTTTTAAACTATTAAGTAAAAATAGTTAGGCTGAGTTGTGAAAGTAGTAGACGTCAGACCAAATTTTCAGTCTCTACCCACCTCACCGGTACTACGAATCACCGGAATGCCCTGTAATCACCGGAATGCCCCAAGAAATCACCGAAATGCCACCGAAAAGCCCCTTATATTGTTAAGAATAAACAAAAAAAAAATATTGATGAAATTAACTGTTCTAAAGCCTAGATACCAAGAAAAAATTTCATAATTTTAGCGTAAGTATTTTTATTTGAAGAAATGTGCATGTAAGTATCAAAGAAAGATAACTCTCACTGATTAATGACACGTGCCAAAATAGTTTTATTTATTCTATTTTTCCCTATTTTTCGTTTAAATATATTCCAAACAATAATGTATTCTTTTATAAAATTTTTGTTTGTAATATTATTGACGTATTTTCTTGATTTCTAAAAAAGGAGGACACATGTGTAATTTTACTGGAAAGTAACATTTATAATCAAATAGAAAGATTTTACGTTTATAGTATATAAACCAAAATATATGCTATGTATGACTTTAATCAAAATTTATTTTTTATTCACTGAACAATAAAAAATTTATGATTGATATAATCAGGGACTTATATATGTCACTTGTACATTGTTTAATTTACAAGGATCGAAGGAAATGGTTGATAGTGTATTATAAATATTACATGTATGAATTAAAGTTTTGCTGATCTAATTCGTAAATTAATGACATCATATTATGTTCACACTATTTCTGAGGAAAATAAATCATTATACACTTTTTTTTCATTTCAGCACAGAAAAGAACTGCAATATTGAAAGAAATATAAAAAAAAATGTGTAAAAATTATGAATTTATTTCATTTTTGGTATATCTATAAGATAACAAACTTTTTTGGAAGTTTCATATTTTACTATAAAAGATAAAAAAAAGAAAAAAAAAGAACGAAGACAAAATTAATTTGATTTTATTTTGTTCAATGTTCAATTGGTTTGAAACAATTGGATATCTGAAATAATAATTATGTTTACTGTGTATACACAGTGATTAAATAATTGATCTAGTGACAGGTGTGTAGTACTCTTGTGTCATGTTACATCATCAGGTACATGACAACCAGTGACCGAAATTACGCACGTGCGCTATACACACACAGGAAAGGGTATCTTTTGCTACTGAACAGTTTACTACATCAATTGAAAATAAAATAGTAAAAGTTGACAATTTACTTTAATTTTTTTTTTAAGTTGTTGAATGGGTTTAATAGACACATTACATGATTTATCAAGCACTTGCTACTTCCGAAATATTCGCTAATATACAAGAGAAACGATCCGTAATTGACCTGACTGACAATGTATCTAATCAATTGCAAGTAACAAATTAAAATAAATATTTATTTAAAAAATGAAACATTTTCATTGCTTAACGAAATACAGAGTAAAAAAAACCCTTTTTTTCCTTTTGTGATTGCATTTGTCTTTTGAAAATCTTTCATATCGATCGTAAATTATCACAGGAGTTGGTCTACCGTTATCTTTTCTCTCTCTCTCATTTTGTTTGGTAAAACATAAACTTTATAGTCCTTAAAATTAGATATATTTAATAAACGATAAATTTACTCCATAAATAATGACGGATATTTAGAGATTACCGCCATACCTACATGTATTTCCCCAGACAGGTGTCGGCAGGCGTATAAATAGTCCAACCTGGTTCACAAAAAGTCAATTAAAAAGGAAGAAAGAAAAAAAAGGACACAAACATTTAATAAAAAACTTAAATAAATCCACATTCCACAAAACTTCAGCTAGTTAAAAAACAGTGTTCGTATGATATAAGTATCTGTAATAATAGCATGTGCACTTGACTATAAACATTAAGACTAGGAACCTATACAAACCATTATTAATTAAAGGTCATGAAACAAAAAGGATGACGGGTAACAAATTGTCAATCACTTGGCATCATTTTTCTCTGAGAAATATCATTATTATTTTATATATATCTATTGGGGTACGTAGATCTCGCTTCCTAGAAAATTATCATCAAATACGAGTTATCGCCCTTTGAAAAACGCGAGCTCAAAACCTAAAAAAAATTAATTTTACCGTCAGTAATGCTTTAATAATTAAAATAAGAATTAATTTTTATGAAAAACATCATGTAAAAACATATGTGTGGGCATTTCGGTGATTTTGTTGGGCATTTCGGTGATTTGTAAGGGCATTTCGGTGATTACGGGGCATCTCACTGAGATTACTCACAGACGTGTGCGTTGTTGACTTGTGAATGTCGCGCGTGTTTTGCGTCTTTAATGTTTCAATTTATTTCACATTGTTTACCTTACGTCCACGTTTATGTCTGGCATGATGTTATCAGTTCGCATTGGTTTAAAATCTACTCTAAAAACGGTAAACAAAGTTTACACCAAGTTCTCGTCTTGTATATTGGATATCAGTAGAGGAACATAAAATTAAAATCGGTCATCGATAGATATAATCAATCCGAATTCAAGAGCAAAACTAAATTGAAAAAAAGAAAAAAAGAAATTCATGATAATTTCACAACAAATCTCTAAAGGGAGTAAATGATTTACCTAAATAAATATCTAATATACAGTGGGTATAAAACTTATAAAATATACCTTCCGGAATTTTCCAGCCTCCATTTATGTATTAAATGTACGTTACCAGTGACGTCACAGGAAAGAGAAGTCTGACGTCTGCCAAGTTCTAGGGCCAAGCAAACGGTGAGGAATGCATAAAATCAACAATTATTATTTTTATTTAATTACTTTATGACCACTGATGACTGTATGTTGCATGTAAACTAAGGGGGTGTTTTTTCATGCATTACATAAAAGAGACTTGGGTTATCAACTGATTAAGGGGGATGTACAAGCCATATTGGATCTAGTCTGATGTAAACTAAGAAATGCCAAGAATGCGCTTAATACTCTACTAAACTAGCTCAAAGTTACTCAAAGTGCTAATGCACTAATTACCTACTGTTAGAGACTAAAATTAGTAAACAATTACTTTTATTTTGTCTTAATTAGAAGAAAATTAATCATGTTTGAACTGCGCAGCTACAGCATTCATGAGATGAAAAATGCATTGAAAATGGGGTTAGTTTGATTCATTGATAATATGGCTACAACCATTTGTTTAGTTTTTTTCTTGTCATTATCCATAATTCTTGAAAATTTGATTTTTCATATGGGTGTTTTCCTGAGGCCATGTGTTTATTTCGTCCGCCATTCCTCTGTCACACAGAGTTCGAATAACAATGATTTTAGAATAAATGCGACCATAATAACACCAAGACAAGAAATTACTAAGTAATAATCATTAGGTTATATTACTTACTACTTTTATTTGTTGCATCGCATCGTCTGATTAATGAAAAAACGCGATTTTAACCTCACTCCAGCAAATCGGGAAAAACTGTTCTGTTTTCAACTCGAAATTCCTCGCTAATATTACTCCACTAAGCACATGGTTGGCATGTGAATATATCTGCTGTAGATAGATGCGTTTATTACCATGATTATATTTAATTTTTCGTGAAACAAGTCTTGATAATTTGTTGGTTTCTTTAAAACTCAAGAAAAAAAGATAAAAATGTCCTCAACATATGTGTTTACGGTGGGTCTTTTTTCTGTGGCGATAGAAGTTATTTTCAAATGGGGCACTGCAAGGAGGATGCTTAGCATTTAATTTGAAAATGTTAAACAATACGCAGTGCATGAAAAAATAAATTGTAATTACATGTCTTACATTCGAAAAGTTGGTACATATGTCTATTTTGTTTATAAGTTAGGTAGAAAAAATAGGCAGTTATAGGATTTCCTTCAGGCACCTCACATAAATAGCTAGAATGTTTGCAATGACCCACACATTGTATGGGGTTATGTTTGGACACAAAAACGCATCATGTCTCATTATGTTGACAACGTTGTAAGCTCTCGCTCATTGAATATACGAAGCTTGATAAAATATAATGAGTTGTTTCTATGAAATTTAGAAGCACAATGTTTGCAATGAAAGGTCCATTGCATATACTATGTCTATCATCGCAAAAAAAGTGAGTGCTAACCCCCCCCCCCCTCCCCCGAAAGTCCTTTGTTTGTTTTTCAAAATAGTGTCAAAGATTAAAAAAAATTGCATTACTAAGTATGTGATGGAACATGTACTAGCCTTATAATACCACTTGTTATAAAAATATTTGGTTGCCCTCTCTCCCGATCTGCTGCCTAGAAATGGCCCAACTCATTTTTTTTTTAACATTTCATTACACGATATTTTTTTCTTTTTCTTCCGTAAACAATTCTGTTTAAATTTTAAGGATTTTTTTTTCTCACCTATAAATACAAACCCAATAATTTTTCCCTGAGTTGGGAGGACCACCAAACATCATTTTAAAGATGTTTATAGGTTGATTTTTTTCTATTTACTTTGTACAAATGTAATTTTGAAAATATGGGCAAATAGAAAAAAAAAATATGTTCAAAGTAAATAAATAACTTCAAGCCACACTATAACACCTTTCCTCTTTTAAAAGTGTTCATATTATTTGAAATATTTTGCAACTGTAATTCTCTTCTACAGTTAAAGATTGTTATGCCCCTCCATATTAAGAAGAGGTCTGGAAAACAAGATTCTTGCTAAAAATAGACCACGTGCTGCTATCCATGAACTACTTTCATGGTTCTTTACACTCTTTTTGAAGACAATGGTACCTTGTTTTGAACTTGAAATTATCATTTAAAAGTGCAAAATTTAGACATTTTCTCAACAAATGGTTGTAGAGAGAACATTAATGCACAGTTTGCATATTTTTTTGGATTTTTTAAGGCTCTGCTGAATTCTGTAGCTGCGCAGTTCTAAGGAGCATATCAAAAGCATTTTTCTGCAAAAGTATAGATTATATATGCACAACATGCATTCGATTATGCATATTTATTGTATTTTTATCAAAAAGACTTAAAATTTGATAAAAATATAATGTATTTTAGCCATTTGAAGAAATGTTTACATTTTGCTCTCACTGCACTAAAGGTGGCCGTACATCCCCCTTAAAAACAGAAAATATTGACCATGTTGAGGCAGTGAGCTGTCTTGGTCAACAAGGGCACGTCATGTATCAAAATGCAGATGAAGTTTAAAAATACTGTAATAACAATTAAGTATTTATTTAAAACGTTTTTAACCTAACAAATAAGATGCCAAAAAAAAAAAGAAAAAAAAAAGAAAGAACAATTTGATGTAAAGTTCCACTCACTGAATTTATTTCTCTTTGCAGTATTTAAAACATCACATTACTTATGGTAAAGGAAATCATTCTCTTTGAGGGCAATAATGGTGTAACAGTTTTGTTTTTACATAATTGTCCTTTTTCATCCTTATGAATATAAATTGTGTTTGAGATTGTGAATTTTTATGTTATTTTAGATATGCATTCCAGGATGGTGACTGAAGCTCATCTTTGTAAACACCTAAATGCCTAGAATGAACTTCAAAACAGATTCTGAAAGTTTTACCTGTATTAATCTTAAATATGGTAATTATAACTTTTAAAAGGAATAAGATTTTCTGATCATATTGCTTTTAGACTTGCAAATACTACATGTAACTTGAAGCTTTTCATGTAAAATTTGAAATGCAATTGAGTTTGACCAATTTCACACTACTAAGAGTTATCTCCCCTTGTCGGCTTAACTCTCATTTTTCCCACTTTGTCCTTTGTAAGTTACCTGTTGGGCTGTTATTATTTTCAATCTTCAAACGTTATTGGACAATTTAGATCTGTACCTGTATTGCCAAAGTTTGGGGCAACATGAAAATCTTCATGAACATATTCATTACAGATTTTATTTTTAAGATACTGAAAAATGAATTTGGTAAGGTTACAGAGGGAAAACAGGGCCATACGCCGGATTGACCCCGCATAGGGGAATAACTTTTGTAAAATTTAATGTGAAAGTCGTCTATTTTTTTTTTAACATATATTTTTTTTAACCTCAAGGACAAAAAGTATACACTTGGAACACACATAAAAACAGATGGGTCCATGCCAAGCTAAAGATTAATGCAGAAGGTAAGTTCAATTTTTCATTTCGTAACTCTTCTGGTTTTATCCAGATCGGACCTTACATATAAGTTTAAGTCAGCTTCAGTATAATAGAAGGATATGGAGATAACGAACAGTATTCAATCTCAAAGTCCATAAAACTATACAAAATAAGAGCAGAGCAAACACGGACCCCTGAAACATCAGAGGTGGGATCAGGTGCCAAAATAAAACACCTATTTACTTACTATTCGGAAAATAGCTTGTTTATCATCTCCCTTGACAGCAAACTATTTCCCTCGGCTGCATCTTGGGGAATAGTTGCTGTCTTGGGGGACGATAAACTAGCTATTGTCCTCATAGTCAGCAAATAGGTGTACCGGTACATGTATACTGTTTTAGCTCTTCTGAGCCAAAGCCTTAAAGAGCTAATGCTATGGCCATTTGTGCGGGGTGCATAAACATTTTAGAATGTGGGCCATAACTCAAGATCCCCTTGGACAATCATTGTCAAATTTTTTACAGGGCATCTTTGGCCCAAGGGCTACCATTTATACTAAAACTAGGGCTTGGACCCTTATACAAGGGGAGATAATCAGGAAAATAAAACCAAAAGAACTTTATATTGACCTAGAATTGTTAAACTTTGTCAGTTGAGGCATCTATGGTTTTTGGAGAATGTCGACCAAAAAGTAGGTCACCATGACCTACTTATGGTATTTTATGGCTCTATTGAAATATCTTTAGTCCTAACTGGCTAAGAATTATCAAACTTTCTCGGCTGATGTATTTTGGGTCTTATAAACTTAGAGGCTTCAAATACTAGCTTCGCGGATTATAAAGCGTTAAGCGTAAACTGGCCCAAACCAGGTTATCATCAACTAATTTGGCCAAGAATTATAGTCATTCCTTAAATAGTTGACCTTGAACTTTTAGTTTAACCCACTGTTAAAAAACTTTCTTTGATCATAACTTTTGAGCTGATAGTAGTAGGGCTTTCATATTTCACAGATTTATTCTTAGACATGTCCTTCCTTGGATAACAACAATTTCGACCTTTGACCTTGACTTTGGAGTTTGACTTGCATTAACCATAAGCTGGCATATGGGGTATCAGTATAATTACAAAAAAAACACATCTTTTTTTCCGAGTTCACCCACAAATCAATGCTATTTAATGAATTTTAGATAAGAGAATTACTAGGTAGATATTTGAGGACATAGTGAAAAAAAAATTTAATGAATTTTAGATTATAAGAGAATTACAAGGTAGATATTTGAGGATATATTGAAAAAAAAATAGTTTAAAAGATCATGGTTATGAAAACTAAAAAATTAATTATAGTTATTTAGTATTTATATTTAAGTTCTACAGGGAATCGACCAGGATTAATATGTGGATAATAATAATGTTCAGGGAAAAATGGGTTTTCCCTTATTCCATGCATTTAATATTTTCTTTTTCTTTACAGATAAAAGAGAACTGGAGAAGAATGAATTGATGTTAACATACTCAACATTAAATTTGGCTTAAATCTAAATATTTCTTTTGTTGTGATTGCTTCAATAGAATAAGGATCAGGAAATTTGAAGTGAAGGATAACCAGAAAGTGGATCATTCAACAGATGAAAAAGAAATAAGCCTTTGAGGGAAATTATGTCAAATGCCTGAATTGAATATTTAGTTTAAAATATATTTTATTCATATAAAGAAATGAATATTTAAATTGCACGTAATTTTTGTTTTACCAACATTTACAATATGTGAAAAAAATGTTCAAAACATGTGTTTAACCATGGTTTGACACATTTTTGTATGGTATTTAGACATTTACAATATGAGCAGTGCAAATAATAAACCCATTAAACATGTTATGAGAAACATATGTTACACACACGTTGCACGTACGTACGTTATTCATATGTGAAACGTATGAGTAACGTACATGTACAATATATGTGTAACGTATGGTAGGCAATACGTATGTTTAACATACGTGACACGCATGATATTCACACGTGTGAAAACGTACGTTTAACGTATGTGGTATTTTTTTCATGGAAAACGTACGTGAAGTCACGTACGTGTCACATATGTTTAACGTACGTGAAACGTACGTGGCACAATTAGCTGTGTATATCGGATATCAGACAGGCAGGCCAGTCTAGAAGTTACCATCACAATCTATGATTTGGATCACGTTACATGTACTAGAACTGTCAGTTCTATGTATCGAATAAAGTTACCAACACTGTGTTGGTAACTTTATTCGATATATAGAATATCCGTGCAGTGGAGGAATGTGTGTAGATGTTGATCACAATCTTGTAATTAGAGACAAGAATACGGGAAAAATACGATTTATTAGATATATGGAAGGAGAAATTTTAAGGTGGTATAATAATAATTAATTTACATCATTGAAGCCAGCAAATGAAATGCCCCGTCCCGTCTCAAGGAAAAAGTAAAAGGTATAAAAAACATATATTTTATATTCACTTTTTTGCCAAAATGCATTTCGCCATCCTTTTAACAAACATTGATAATCAAAGACTACGAAGCTACTGCAAATGCTTTCAGTTTAAGTAATGCAAATATCGCATCATATTTTCTATATAGATAGCATGCATCATGAAAACACCATTTACGTAAGTTTTCTTTAAGTAGGTCTTATTATATAGTTCATTGGGAGTTGGTATGTTTAAGAATGTTTAGCCTGCAAATTCACTAAACAAGAAAATGTCTTTTCTTACAACTAAACAAGCGTACAATTGTCCACCCCTAGATGCATCATCCCTGCAAATTTAAACCAAGTAGGGAATGGATCTGTTCCTAGAACTTTAACCTGGTCACTCATCTGGAAATTGGTCAAACCCAGCATCCAAAGTCTGGAAATGTCCATATATATTGATGTATCGTTCAAGCGAGTTTGATCCAGGTAGGGCTTATAGTTGCTTGGGAATGGACCTGCTCCTGAATCTTTGACCTGGTTACTCATCTGGAAACTATAGGTCAAATTCATCTTCCAAATCAAGTATGATAATATCCATTCTGAGATGCATAACCTTTATGAGTTTGGTCTCAGTCTTCTAGGAGTCCTTTGATATGTCTTTCATCAAGAGGACGTCTTAAGTAGCTAGTCAACGCATTGTGTACACAGTGAATGGGAAAGGACTATTCCTAGCACATCATAAAAACTCAGAAGGAGCGTAGTCAATCGTTAGTTAGAAATCTTCAGGAGCCTAAATGAATCACACTGAGTGAGCTGTGTAGCAAAGTTTTGAAATGAAACTTTTTTTCTAATATCTTAAGGACGTTCGATCCTGATATTTTGAGCGTATTTCGCGCAGGTCCTTTATTCATAAAATTAAGCATCATTTTTAGGTTCTAACAATAAAACTGAATTCTAAAATGTAAATTAAACTTTATTCAATGAAAAAACAGCGATTGAATTCCATTCAAGTAGAATTAAGCTAGGGACTATGTTTTATGGCGGAAGGTTTTTTAGACGAAAATGGTCACTTTTTTCCATTTGAACTATAATAACAGTACTGTTAATTTTGGATGCCTATTTTTCCATGCTGGTTGCACACAAAGCTGTTTTTGGCAGTTAAATATGTTATGCTGGTTCTGAAATATCATTTTAATTATTTCTTATGAATTCTATCAACAAAGTGTGACAAATATAGTAAATATATTCTGAAAATCCTGGAAAAAATGGAGCCAATTTTAGCGTAAAATTTACACTTTTTTAGTAATATCTGAAAATCTACATGTACCCCCACTTTTGATGTTCTTTTCTAGATATTCAAGATACATTTTACCTTTTTGCTTAAAATCAGAAAAAGTTTAAGACCTTAAAATGATTTTCTTGCTTATTATATTTTCAATGCCGGAAAAATAGCATTTTATTAGTGCAGAAAGGTCAAATAATTGATTATGCGAAGCAATTAGATTTTTTTTCTCAGTCACAATTTTTAAGCATCTATTTTTAAACGGACTTAGATTTCATTTTGTTTCATTTTTGAAATTGGATGAATATATTGGAGGGAAAACGTCGAAGATTTAAATTTTAATTAAGACACCAATTTCAGTGCAGAAAGGTCATATTAAATGTACTGTAGCGCTAAAAGAAGCATATTGACCCCCATTTTTTGATTTGAATTTTAATTAAACTATGTATGTAGAAACTAAAAATATATTTGACAAAAAAAGTTTAAGACTTTAATTATCAGGATCGAACGTCGTTAAGGTAACATATTTCAAAAAATCATCAAGATGCCACAATATCTTGGTAAAGTCCATGTATATACCGGTATAACTAGGACCTACATTCATAAAAAAAGGCGTTTAATCATGTAGCTACCAAGGCAAAGCAGACTTTTGACCAATTTTTTTTAAAAACAGAGGAAAGAAGCAAACTTGTCTCAAAAATCATAAAAATAGCATAAGTAATGCTTTTATAAGTAAATTGGATAAGACATAATAAGTATAACGGCCTTAATGTTTATTTTTAATACAAAGTTTAACTAAAATTTATTTTTTTAAAGTTGTATAGAATAAAAAGGGTGTTTACAGAAAAGCTGAACATGAACATCATATAAAGTTTATAAATTACTTAATATTTTAGAATTT